TTTATTTATTAAATCAAATTTCATCTAAGGTAAGTGATTGATTTAACTTCATCATCATCACATCTGATAAGATTATAATCTATTTATTTATGTTTACTAAATCTTAATATTCATTTTATTTATTTATTTCTTAATACAATAATTTAATCTAATCTTATCAGATGTGACACAACGTAACATATTATTTACTAATATATTTATTTATTTATTAATTAATTAATGCAGGTAAAATAAATGATTAATTCAATCTTATCTTATCAGATCTGATACAACGCAACATTTATTTATTATATTATTTATATTAATATTCAAATAAAGGATGTTGATCGTGTCTTGTACCCACACCATGTTGGACATTATCTCGGATTGGATGTTCATGACACACATGACATTGATCGTTCAAAAATATTGAGAAAAGGAATGGTTATAACTATTGGTATTTATTTATTTATTAATTTATTTTCACCTGATCACTTTTCTGGTTTTTATTTATTTATATGAACTTTTAAATAATTGTGCTATAGAGCCAGGAATATACGTTCCTCGTAATAAAGCGTACCCAGAACAGTATCACGGAATGGGCATACGTATAGAAGATAACGTGTTGGTCGGGGAAAGTGATCCGATCGTGTTGAGTTCTAGTGCACCAAAAGAAATTGTTGATATTGAATATTGTATGAACAAATAAATAAACAAACAACAAACAAACGAATGAATCTAGAATCTAGAAGATTAATAATTTTATTTTTAATTTTTACTTTTGCCAAGAAATAAATTAAAAATTAAATTATTTTCATAACAAGTTTTTAATTGTAAAAATTTATTTTACTTTTTTTTGCCTTGTTATTATTATTTATCTTTTTTTCCTCATCAACTTATTATTAAAAGAATAAGAAAAAATGCAAAAAATAAAAGAACTTTCGCAAATTTAAGATTTTATCGTGTAACAACCACCACTACTACGTCAATAAACAACAAATATCTTTTTTAGGTTTCAAGTGTTAGTGTAAGTGTATGCTCTAAAAGGAATTTTTAATTTATTATTTTCCATTTTGTTGTTAAGAAAATTTATATGAACTTTATTATAAAAATAAAAGTAACTCGTATAAATAAATTTTTTTTTAAAATAATCAACAGAAATAAAACTATCAATTAAATTAGATAGTATAAAAAAATTAAAGTTTTTTTTCTTGTTACATAACTTCTAGCCAAAGAATCAAACAATAAATAATAAATAAATGAGTCGGATGAGATGAATTGTTGTTTAGTACGTGCTTGATTAATCAATCTTTGATTAATTAATAATCATATTCAAATAATTGCTAGTTATAAATGATAAATATTTTATTTCGTTTGTTTTGATTTTTTCATCGATAACTATATGCATTATTATTATTATATTTATATTTATATTATAATAATATCTAATTCTAATAATAATTATCACTTTTATACCACCATATTTTTTTATAATATACCATACTATCATCCCCCTATCATCTCCACCACTCTCCACTTTTCTCATATTTATTAATCAATTTTATTTTTATCTTGCGCGTTTTTAGCAGCAATTTTTTTTGAAACAGTCCAAAAAATCCAAAAACTTCCAATTAGAACAACTAATATTGTCCATAGTTCAACAATCTTTAAATGATTCAATTGACCAATTGGTACTTTAACTAATTCTATTGGCCAATGGTTTTGTTGTATGGGTAGAATATATTTAATTTGTTTTCTTTTATTATTATAAAAAAGTGATAATGGTAATGGTGTTTGTGAAAATAACGGATCTTTTATCACAATCCAAAAATAATTAAAAATTAATATTATTAATATTATAGCATTTATAATTACAATTATACTGCATTAAATATTTACCTGGTTTGTCAATATTATTATTCTTATTGTTATTCTTGTTATTATTTGATTTTTCATCACATAAACAAACTACCAAAGGCCATGGAACACTAACTGTTACATGACTATAATTATCATCATCATTATTATTATGCTGATGATATTTTCTTGTATCACCAATACTAACACCACTCCTTTTTTTTTTCTTAGTTCCTCCACCTTCTTTATCTTCCGTTATCATGATTGTGGAAGATGGTGATGATTGTAATTTATTTTTTGATGATGATGATGAAAATATAGATAATAATAATGTGGTCAGTGATGATGATAGTGTATTAGTAGTAGGTAAGGGTGGTTGATATCTTAAATGTAAAGGAAACCTAAACACATCACCATTTATCATCATCTTCTGACTAATAATTGCAACGTTGCCCCATCTTAATGATTTATCACCAACTGGACTTTCTAGATTCATTTCACCAAATATTTCAATCCTTTTATTATCATTTATGTCATTTGAGTCATCTAATTGATATTTATCAACAATAAAAGTATTTGGTATGATATGAATAAATAATAATTTACAAGTTTCCTCATCTTCCATTCCTTTTATTTCATCATTGTCACCCTTGACAGTGGTATGGAAATTAGTATGAAATGTTTGATTTGGTGACAGAACAGAATTGAAAGAATAATTTAATGCAGGAGGTACACGATCATTTGGAACTGTTAACAGCGTTTCTATAAATTTAAATTTTTGATGCTGTTGTTCAAATAATAATCTTGCTCCATAAAATGATTCATCATCAAATTTATCCCAAAATATTCCTATTTCCAATTTATAACCATCGTCATTATTATCATTTTTATAGTTATTTTTATTATTAATATTTATAAACTCTTTTTCTTCTTTAACAATCTTTATGTCCTGATTCTCATATTTCCATAGAAATCTAAGATCCATCATTGGTTTTTGGATTTTTTCATCAAATTTTAAATTAAAATCCAAAAGTACTAGAGTATTTAGATTATTATTACTATTATTGTCATTATTACTATTATTGTTGTTATTATCTTGAATTAAATAGTTTATTAGAATTGAAGATAATGATAAAGAAGGAGTATTTGAAGAGTAAAAATAATATTGTCCATTTTCCAATGATATTGATTGTGAGACATCAATAGGTTTTCTTTTCCCTTGAAAAAATAATTGTTGCTGTTGTTGTTGCTGCTGTTGTTGATAGGATTCACAATTAAAAATACCAAACAGTTTATCAAGTAATCGACATAATTTTGAAATATCTGCTAAATCATTTTCCTCTTCTACTTTTTCTACTGATCTAATCGAAAAGCCTACATGAATGCCTGGAATAGGCAACACATTAAAAGGATGTTGAAATATACTACGACTTTCATATCCTTTATTCTCACCACCATCCTCTTTGTTTCTTTTATTCACCCATAACCCTTCTTCTTCTTCCTCCTCCTCTTCCTCCATCATAATCTGAACTCTAGCTGACCATTCAGTTTTCCAATCAGAAAATAGTAACAGATCATTATCACCATTATTATTATTATTATTAACAAAAAACTTTTCAAGTGGCTTATAAATCTTCCATTCCCTAATTCCGGTAAAATTTTTAATCAAGGCACAATTTTTTTCTGGGATCTGTATTTTATCATTTATAAAAGAATTGTCATCGTTACTGCTACTCGCTAGCACTCTATCAAAAAAAAATGTTTGTCGATGTCTAGTTAAATGTGATGATGGAGATGGAGATGAAGAAGATACTAGAAAAAAAATTATTAGTGAATTAATAATTATAAAAATAAATTGAAAAGTTGATTGCATAATAATTGTAGAAAAAATTTATTAAAATATTTTTTTATTAGATAGATAATCGGATAATCCATTCACCATTCGTGCATATCACAAACAATCATCACATTTTGATAAAATCGAATTCCTACTAAATAAGAAACAACCCCAATGCGTAACATTAGTACGGAGTGTGCGGAGAATGCACGGTACACAAACATTGTGGTTCATTCAGTATAGTGGACATTTGATTTCATTGGCTAAATTTTGTGACGATCTCCCTTCCAGATATCACGCAACAATTGGCTTGAAAATCGTTACGCAAATTTGAAAAACAAAATATTAATATTAATATTAATATTAATATCTGAGGGAATGATAAAATAAAATGTTTATAACAAATAAAAAAATTAATATAGTATTTCTTTATTGAATGTTTATAATACATAGGCTTAGTTTTTCATTATACAGTCTAATATATTATTTGCTTTTAACTTTTCATTGACTTCATCAAATCAACATTTTACCTTTGATCATGAATTATCATCCATTATATAATATTGTATATATATCTGAAATTTCCTATAAATAAATAGATTGGTGGCATGAATATTAATACATGAATTTTGAAAATAAAAATAAAAATAAAAATAAAAATATAAATTTAAATATGTAAATATAAATATAAATAAATATATATATATAAATATAAATATAAATATAAATATAAAAAAAAATATTTTAAATATGTTTTTTAAATTGTATACACCACTTTATAATTACACCCTGAGTATATCTGTTATTGTTGTTTAAAAATCCTTCTTGTTTTTTAAATGCATCGTAAAAAATCAAAGATACAACCTATTATATGATCTTTGTGCTATTGGATAAAGTTGAATATAAGTTATAAGTTATCAAATATATAAAATAAATACTTATTTCTTTAAAGTATAATAATAATGAGAATATAGAATAAGTCTTTACCTGCAAGTATAATAATGACTTATTAATAAGTAAAATGTTATCATTTATATTTTTAAAAAAAAAAAAAATAATAATAATAATAATAAATAATAATGACACAATTCTGACGGACAAGATCACAGAAGCCTTAAACTCTTACTTCTAAGGTAACTTATTGAAATCAAATTGATCAAATTGATCGAATTTTACCAAAATATAAAGCGATATATTAATATTATTATTAAAAAAATAAAATTTTCCATAAAATGGGTTTTGTGCACAGTCACGCGACTTTTTTCTATTCTAAATTCAATTGAAATAGCAAGTTTCACAATATAAAAAAGATTGATGATCGATTTTGTCACAAATGATAAAACGAATGTCCACTATGCTCAAGAGTGGTGGGTGGATATGATGATAGTAAACTCCAAGATAAAACATCAAAATCATCAAAATCATTAAAATCGACAAAAGTGTCAAAGTCAGCAAACAGGCACAAAACATGAACAAAATAATTAATATTAGTAGTTCTTTTCTCCATAATACAAAAAAGTGCGGAGTATTAGTATGCACAGAATTTCGTCATATATTATTGTCTCTCAAACGGTCAAAGTATTCTTTAATGGTAGAATAATTTTTGTTCATTATTATTGGCCAATTTAACGATCTGCAAAGTAAAAATAGTCAATCGACCAACTTTTAAGGATGATTTTACGAAAACCACAAGGACAACGACCGAATTTTTATTCACAGGTCAATCAACTGAATCTCGAAGATCATTTTCGTATTAGGAAGTAATACCTTCAGAAAAAGTTTTTTATAACAGAAAAAAATTTCGGCTATCAATAGCCGAAAAACCGTTTAAGGGATAATAATAATAATAATAATAATAATATTTCGTATTACATTTTCACGTGATATAATAACCTGGCCAATAAACATAGAGATTTAGTTTCATAAAAAAACCCGATTCGAACAGGTTCAAAAACCGAACCGAACCTAAACCAAAAACCGGGGGTTTTTTAAACCGCCACATCTCTACATTTAATTCCCCTTGCATAAATGATTTGCATATAAGCATCTTTACGAAATTACGTGAATTACGGTTTTTAATATTAAATATTATTCTTTTTTTCCAAATTTGGGAAAATGTATTTTCAAATTACACATAATTTAAAAAATTAAATTTTAGAAACCATGAAATGGCTTTTATTTGCATTAAGAATCTTCTTCTTCCTCATCTAATTCTTCACCATCATCTTGTATAGAGTCATCTTCAACCTCAAAAGAGTTTACTGGAACAGAATATAGCCTTATTGCAGGCTATATGGATTTTAAAAGTAAAATATTAATTTTGAAACAACACATTACTATTGTCAATGACAGTTTATTGAATACAAATATATATATATTACCTTGTTAGGATCCTTAAGTAATACATATCTACCTTCTGGTAATTTCATACATAAATCAATGATTGTTCTAACTATTCCCCATCCATTGGAAACAGACAAGTTCATTTGAGTGGCAAAATCACGTGGTTTGTAAACTTGAGTCCCCAAGATTACATGTCGAGTATTATCTTTAGGATTTGCTCTAGAAACATAGCTATAAAAATAAATAGAAAATTTCAAAATAATACCCTATTATATAAACGTGAGTTATATTGTTATTATATCATAGTTACCCTAATTTCATTTGATCAGCTTTTGCCAAAATACTTTGAACAGCCCATCTTGCCAATTTACAACTATTATTTTTCATTTCAGTAGCAACAACTGCACCACTCTGAGTATCTAATTTTTGACGCCAATCTAAAGCACCACCTGCACCTTGAGCACGTGTGTCAAATTCATTTAAAGCTTTTATGGTGATAAAGGAATCACCAGTTGATGTTTTGACAACTGAGTCAAGTTGAGTTCTAACAATCAATGCAAAATCTTCCTCTTCATTAATACTGAGATCAAACCGTCTATATTTATATGCACCTGGTGCCATGTATTCAATTTCATCCGTGGAATTAATAAATGGGTTGGGATTTTCAAATTCATGTTTTTCAGCCTATTATTATTGTTGTTGTAGTGTTCAAACAAAATAAAATTCATAAATATTTATATTTATATTTATATTTATAAAGTGGGTTAAATTTCTTTATACCTCGTTAACAACTTGTAATGCAAAAAAATTATTGATTTCTGTTGCTTCCAATGCTAAAGCACTAGGAGAATTTATATTATCTTTATCACCTGTTTCAAGAGGTGGATCAGTTGCATTTTCATTTACTGTTATAATATCTAATATGATTTTAAACAAATAAATAAAATTATAAATGTGGGTATTGTGAAAAAAAATTTATCATAAATATACACATATATATATATGCATACCATATACACCATTATTTCTTTTGTCAAAGAAAAGTTTGTCACCAACTCGATTTATTACAATGTCCCATGGATACACAGACCTTGGGGCACACATAAGAAGACTTAGAATAGAATCCGTAGCAAAAACTGTTGCTTGATTATCTTTTGCCAGCTATTTATAATAATAAAAAAACATGTATTATTTAATAAAAAATTTTATTAAAGAAATTTTATAAGATAATTACTTGTTCTATAATCGGATCTTTGGATGTGGTGGTAAAAAATCGAATGCGCTCGTTAGATAATAATGGTTTTTCAGTTTTGGTTCTAACCAGATCATAGCTTTTATCATAATAATACATGAATCCATGTGAAGATCTAAATTAAACAAACATAGACATATACATAAATATTAGAAAATTGTCACTTTTCAAAATAATAGAACATTGAAAATATTTCCAACTTACAAATCCTCGCCATCATCTACATCCAAATTAAGTTTAGTTAACCGAATAAATTCAATTTCTTCAAGTTCTTTCCATTCAGGCCCAACATTAACCGAAGATTCTCTTGATCTTTGTGGCTATTAAAATCATAACTTTTTCAATAATATGATTACATAAATTTTCTTTTTTTATCTTTAAATTATAAACAAATTATTTATTAGAAAAGAAATAAATACTTTATCATAATCTTTCCAACCAAAGCGCCTTCTAATATTTGCTGGTGTGAATTTACCGCCGGTGGCATTTCTATTTTGTGTACCAAGTCTTTGATATTGTCCATTTCTGAATTGACGTTGTCCTTGACCTCTCATATTACCACGACCCTATTATTATTTTACAGAGAAAGTATCAATTGATTTGTTTTTTTAAAAAAATAAATCAATTCATCTTATATATATATATATATACTTTTGCACCACCAGTAGTTCTGTATGAAGTAGATTTTTTTTGATGTGTGGTTCGATTATCAACAACAGAAAAAGATGCTTCGTCATCAGCATGAGTATATGCAAAAGTACTAGATGCACCATATCCATATGCCGTATATTGATCTATGAAAAAATTTTAAAAAAAGTGACCAAAAATCAACTCACTTCAAATTCAAGATCCTAAATAAATAAAATCGATAAACAAAAAATTATTGATAGATTAGAGCATACCACGATAACTACGATAAGTTGTTCTTTGTCTACCAGTCTGTTCCTTTTCTTTTTGTTCTGGTGTAAACCAATCAGCTATTCTTCCTAATTTATCAGCTTTGCTATAAGGAGCAAAAGGAATGTCTCTGAATTTTTCTGGCAACATGAGAGGTGAAGGACCCCAACCATTTTCGTTATCGATAATTTCTGGGAGTTTGAATTTAGGTTCTTCCTCCATTATATATATATATATATATATTTTTTTTTTTTTTTAATATGAGGTTCATCCAATCACCCACCACATTCATTCGGACAGATTTATTGATGGACGGACGATTTATCGATTTATCAAAACCCTGAAAACTTCTAATTGGGGTCCCAGAAAAAATTCAGATGTAATTTTTATATACAGTAATTTTAATTTGGGCAGCAACTATATTGACAACACAATTAAAAATATAACATCTGAACTTATATGTTATGTGTATGTTCTACCAAATTATGGTGTAATATTTAGAAAATATTTAGATGAACATAATCAGTTAGTAGTACATTCATTTGTCAGAGAATACTCATTTGGAATAATAGAATTAATTATATTTCTCTTAATATATTTGATCCAAAAGAACTTCTTGATAATGAGAGAGATTTGGTTGTATATGGAATAAATGAGATAGATTTCCTAGATAAATTTTATGATGAAATTAAATTTGTGGGTGATAATGAATTTTATAAAATTATGAAAAAGGAAAACTCAGAAGAATGGAGCCCTGTAAAATCTTATCTACAATTGTACAAAAATACTTTAATCAATTGTGGAAACATATATTAGATAATGATGAGAATTTTTCTTCTAATCATCCAACAACAACAATTATTCTTAAAATAGCACTGGTTATACCTCTTTCTAATGCTCAAATAGAAAGAATATTCTCACAACAAAATTTAATAAAAAATAAATCAAGAAATGTAATGAATATTGGTACTTTGAGTAATCATTTAATGATATTATTAAATGAACCAGAAGTTAATTTTGAAAAAGCATATGAGCATTGGAGAAGTAAGAAACAAGAAGGAGTTACTATAGATATAAATCTTAAAGAAAATTAAATTGGGGCATACTAGGTTTCATAGATAGGTCAGTAATAAAAATTTCCTTTTGTTATATGATTTGACCCAGACCAAAATTAAGTTTAATATAACTTGACCCTAAGGTTTGCAATAACATTAGAAAAAAGAACATAATTTGACCCATAATATATACTAACATTAAAAATTTTGAAACCATTGTGAGTGTTATTTACCAGGTAATTCTTATGTTTGGCACACAGCTGGTCTTACTTTGCCTCGAATTACAGCCCATAATTATACCTATTGACACTAAATCTAAATATCAACACACAGCTAGGACTTACTTTGCCTACTGACTTATGGTTGATTCCACTATCTTATGACACAGTCTGGATAGTCCAAAATATTTGACATGCAGCTAGGACTTACTTTGCCTACTGACTTACAGTCAATGCTTCTTTTATTTTATGACACACAGTCTGGATAAAAGATCCCTAGGTTATTTGGCTAACTATATCCCAAAGGCGTCCCCTTGAGATGCTCAATAGTTAAAGGGTTCCCAACTAATAATCTAGGAATCAATCACACTGGGTTTATTAGTTAATTACAGTCAAAGAATATTTTATGTAAGGGTTATATATTTATTTAGAGTGTTAAGAGTTATTATTATGTTATTGTTGAGATGGAAAATTGCATGAAATTTCAAAACTTCATGTGCATGATGTGCATTTTATGCATTGCATTTTTTTAAAAATATATATATATATATATATATAAAAATATAAATACAATTTTCAATATTATTATCACTACCACTTCCTCACCACTTTCTATTCTAATTGTTTCATCATCATCATCATCACTTTTATCATTTTCGCTTCCCACATTTCCATCACCATCAATTGTAATATCCATATTATCATTGTTGGTATTTTTGGACATTTTAATTTGTAATTAAAATAAATATACACCAATTTAAAATACATTAAGGTGTCAATAATTTATTTCTCTTTTTATCATTTATAAAAGAAAAAGTAAACCAATTCCTTTTAGAAGCAAAGCTGATGAAATTATCAATTCTACCCAGTTTAACAAATGGGATGTCCACCAGCAAATAGGGGGTCTGAGACTATTAAATTGTTCTGTGTTATTATCAAAACAAAAATTGGTTACACGAATAGTTTTGATATGTAAAGTAAATATTTCAAGTCTTGTATAGTGCAGGACACCTAGTCCCACAACTTTTTATTGGTCTTGTATATCCTTTAGTATACCAGAAATGGAAATGCAACACCAAAAAAACAAAACATGATTTTGAAGCTAAGACCTTTCTCCACAAAGCTACGATTTCATTTTGTTGATATGT